CCGTTTCACCTATGCATGTCCTTGATGAAGCAGTTGAAATCATTAATTTTATTACATCTGATCCTTGGTTATACATCTTTTTAATAATATTTTATGTGATAAAATGAGACATTTACGTAAAGCATTTCTACTGCAAACTGTAATATGATTGTTTCAAGGAAAAGCAGTTGTGACAATTTGAGTTGCAAGGTAAACTGGCAGCATTGTTCATGGGACGGCATTTTACTTGGAAGAATGACTAACAAATTACGGTTATTCAGAGTTGGGTGTTTGGTACTTAAACCAGAGGCTTCCTGATATTTAAAGACTTTCCTAATGTGATTAATGATATTTAAAGACTTTTCTAATGTGATTGATAAGTGTGGATTTTTGATATTATGTAATATGTCAACATTTAGAAGAGCTGCATAACTTGATGAACCAGTATTTTCTAAATGACTAATGCGCGATGTTATAAATTCAAGTATGGGTGAAAGAGCCACTCAAAATGTAAGGCAGAAAAATGGATTTTAATGTAACAAAGTACAAAATGTTCACTGATGTGTTTTCAGATTCCACACTGCAACTAACTTTTTTAGAACTTCTGTTTCTTGAGGTCTGGTATAGTATCCAAGAAGAATATGCATATTTATCTGGAAAGGCTATTTAAGTACCCCTCCCCTTTCCAAATATATATCTGTGGGTCTAGATTCTCTCTATATATCTTAACCAAAGCAATATATCACAACAGATTGAATGCAGAAGCAGATAAGAAGTTCCAGCTATTTTTTATTAAGCCAAACTTTAAAAAGATTTGCAAAACTGTAAAACAGTGCCATTCTTCTCATGTCTTTTGTCTTGGGAAATATAATTGTTTTACAAAAAATATGTTATTTATGTTACTATACTATGGATTTATTTTTCATGAATTATTACTTTTAAATGGATTAAACATTTTAACATTTTCAGGTTTAATTTCTAGTATGGTGAATATCTATAAATAGTAACACACATAAACATAAGTGTTTGGGGGTTGTCAGTGATTTTTACGGAGTATAGGAGTGCTGACACCAAAATGTTTGAGAACACTTCCTGATGGCTAGTGGCCAGCAGAGCACAGTGCTAAGAAAGCTGATATGAATTTACCTGCTGAATGGGGGATTCTTGGCCCAGAGCGTCTGTGAGAGGGATGTATGGATGTCCCTAAAAGTTCTCTCTTTCCTCAGAATGGCCGTGATCTCTCTATCCGGTCCAGTGGTAGCCGCCACATGAAGAAGCAGACCTTTGTAGTACATGCAGGGACAGACACAAATGGAGATATCTTTTTCATGGAGGTAAGTGCTGGCTCATGCTACAGGCCCAAAGGAACATTTGAGAGTCAGAAGGAACTCCTAGAACTGATGCCAGGATATTTTCCCATTTATCTCATTTACCTTCACAATCCATTTATCATTAAGTTGTCAGGCACTTATGCCAATAGTATAATGGATTGTTCCCCATCATTCCTTTTATATATATTTAGTGTAAGAGATGATACATTCCCATTGTCCATAAGGCAGAAAAACATAAAGTGGTACATACATTGGGAAGCCTCGCTCTCCGTATCCCCGTGCACCTCGCCCCTTCCTCTTACAGGTAACCACTCTTAGAGGTTTCTCTTTGTATCTTCCAGTTTTCTTACACAAACACAATAAAATATGAACATAAATGCTTATTTTTCTCTTTTCTTAGCACATCGTATCCACTGATCTGTACCTTGCTTTTTTCATTAAACATACCCTGTAAACCTTCAGCATCAGTAAAAAAAAAAAAAAAAAAAAGAGCCTTTTCGTTCTTTTTATAGCTGTATAGTATTCCACTGTGTGGCTGTACACAGTTTATTTAACCAGTCGGTATATATGTACCGTTGGTTTTCTTCCAGATTTTTGCTATTGCTAATAGTCCTCTATGGATGATGCTACACCTGCTTCATTTCATACATGTGCAGGTTTATCTAAGAATTCCAAGAAGTGGGATTGCTGGATTAGAGGGACAGTGTATTTATAATTTTGGTTGACATGACTGAACTATCTCTTTACATATAATAGTCCCCTTCCCGCTTTATCAGTCATTTTTTTGAAGAAATTTGCCCTATGGAGTATCTTGTTCTAAATTTTTTGCTGTATCACTTGGATTTCTTATAAACTGGTAGTTCAACCTAGAGGTTTGAACAGTTTTAGATTTAATAGTTTGGTAAGAAGCTTCATAGATGGTACTGTATATTTATTTCCTGCTGGCTCACATGGTCAGCCCTGCTAGTGATCAGTGGGTTCAGATGTGGGCAGCCTGATTTACTCACTGTAGAGTTCCTCAGTAGTCTTCTAATCTTGCTTGTGATATGTTTTGCCAAGTAGAATTTTTTACTTTTATGTGGTTGAATTCATTAGTCCTTTCTTTTATGGCATCTGAATTTTGAGTCATAGTTTGGAAAACTCTTCCTTACTCCAGGATTAAAAAGGAAATGGCCACTTGACCGGTGTGGCTCAGCGGTTGAGCATTGACCTATGATCCAGGAGATCGAGGTTCGATTCCCAGTCAGGGCACATCCTAGGTTGAGGGCTCAATCCCCAGTCGGGGGCGTACAGGAGGCAGCCAATGACTCATCATTGATGTTTCTATCTCTCTCTCTCCCTCTCCCTTCCTCTCTCTGAAATCCATAAAGACATTTAAAAAAAAAAAAGGAAATGGCCATGTTTTCTTCATAAGTTGTTTCCTTTTGGCTTAGTTGAATTTGATTTTCACATTCATGGATTTTATTTTTACTTATTTAAAGAATAGTTTATTGATTTTTAGAGGGAGAGGAAGTGAGAGGGGAGAGAGAGAAACATTGATGTGAGAGTGTAACATAAATCAGCAACCTCCTGCACAACCCCTGCCGGGGATTGAGTCCACAACCTGGGCACGTCCCCTGACCAGGAATTGAACCTGTGACCTTTCAATGTACTAGACAATGCTTCAACCAACTGAGCCACACCGGCCAGGGCTCCACCTATATATATATATTTTTTAAACAATGCTTCACTGAATATTCTTGAACATATATCTTTTTATACTCACATGAAAATTTCTGTGGGATAGCCCTGGCAGGTATCACTCAGTTGGTTGAAGCATTGTTGACTTCATCATCCCGTGCAGACTTGCAGGCTTGATCACTGGTTGCAGGCTTGATCACTGGTAGGAAGCGTGAAGGAGGCAGCCAGTTGTTTCACTCTCACATCGATGTTTCTCCCTCTCTTTCCCTCTCTCTTCCTCTCTCTCTCTCAAAAAAAAAAAAAAAAATCTTTAAAAATAAAGATTTATGCAAAACTAGGGCTGAGCCAGGATTAGAAATTCGTTGGTTCCATTTTTTATCTCCTTGGTTAAGCCTGCCATGATCCCCTGACTCCCGAGGTGGTAAAGTGGAGGCATGAGCTGTCCTCTGAATATTTTAAATCCAGAGCATGTAAGAGGTAATAAACACTGATGGAAGTGAAAAGTGAGCCTCCTTCCTGCTTATAGGTTCCTTTCAATGACTTCTTTTCTTTCAGTAAACCTGGTGGACAAAGTGTCCAGCAGTTTAGTGTTTGTCTCCATCTAAGGAAGACTGTGAGCATAAGTCAGAGAGCCTGCCCACGGGATGCTCCCAGAACCAGCTGTCCCAGCAGTGTAGTGTGGCCTGGGATGCAAGAGACCCAACGGGACGGGAACCACTGAACTGCTCTTGCTTCTCCAGGTGTGTGACGACTGCGTGGTGCTGCGCAGTAACATCGGGACCGTGTATGAGCGCTGGTGGTATGAGAAGCTCATCAACATGACCTACTGTCCCAAGACCAAGGTGCTGTGCTTGTGGCGCAGAAATGGCTCTGAGACCCAGCTCAACAAATTCTACACGAAGAAGGTACCGTGACCTCCATGTGGGCTGGGGGTAGGCATTGTGGGCAGTGTTGAGTTTCTCGTACGGAAGTTAAAATTTCAAAATCCATGTCTGGAGCCCCACTTTTGCCTCTAACTGCTGTGTGGGATTTGTAAAGCTGTCTCTGAGTTCCAGGCATCGGCCCAGGCCTGCAACAGCCATTGTGGGCAGAGTAGAGGGCGGGGACTCTGGAAGGCTTGTGTGACCGGCAGCTCTCTCCCCTGTGCCGCAGTGTCGGGAGCTGTACTACTGCGTGAAGGATAGCATGGAGCGTGCTGCTGCCCGACAGCAAAGCATCAAACCTGGTGAGAAGAGAACTCCCTGAGCACGTGCCTTCCGTTTATTTTCATCAGCTTTTACTCATGTTGAGGCCTGGCCAGGAAGTCAGGCTGTGGGATGCCCCACCTCCCAGCCAGCTGATCACCTCCTCCCTCACCACAGGGCCTGAACTAGGTGGCGAGTTCCCTGTGCAGGACATGAAGACTGGTGAGGGTGGCTTGCTGCAGGTCACCCTAGAAGGAATCAATCTCAAGTTCATGCACAACCAGGTAGGTGCAAGTGGCAGCACAGGGCTTCCTAGCCCTGTTGTTCCATCTGCAATAGGATCAGTGTTAAGGTCCCCAGTGCTTTCCCAGCTAGCATGAGAAAGGGCCTCTGAGGCATTGGGAGAATTGGAACAGCTAGACCAGAGAGACAGATCAGAGGAGGGCACAGTGACGTTGACAGCCACCTTGAAGGTGCAGCAGGGAGGTTATATGGGAGACTGGAGAAGAGAGGGAGCCTCCATCGTCAGACTCATGAGACAGCACAGTGTGAGTGGGAGCGTCTCGCTTGGCCCTTCTTTGCACAGTGTCTGCCTTCCCTGTTCCCAGGGTGTGCTTTTGCTTGGTGGTTTTGCTTTGAGAATCAAGACCAGGTGACCTCGCTTGTGTGTGTGTGGTGTGCGTAAGTTTGCGTGTGTGCGTGAGTAGCTGGTATCTGTCCTATCCGGAGTGTGTGTGTGCTTTCTCTCCTGCTGATTCTTCTACCTACTCTGTTCTTCCTCCGAGTGTCCCCACTCTGTCCCTGCCCCACAGGCCCACCCGCTTCTTTTGACTGGGTACACTTCAGGATTCATCTTTCCCTCACTGTGATTCCACAGTAGGAGCTGACTTCCTTCTTTCTCTTGGTCTTTAACACAATGTTACTTTTTCTCTCAGTGGACATTCCTTGAGCTAATTCCTTTCTGAGGCCAGTGCATCATCCCAGGTCCGTTCCCACTTCTGACTCTTCACACAAGTGCCTTCCTGTCCACTTCCCAGATACACTGGTTCCTCTCCTGAGGCTTGGAGCCAGATCCAAGTGTGTGAAGCCCCCCAACTCCTGGCCAGGCAGCAGATACTCGGGGGAGGTGAACAGCTGGATTTTGTGCTTTCTCCCTCCACCTGCCCTTCTAGTTCTTCAGGAACCTGGCTGGGCAGCTTTGATGTGATGGCAGTGTGTTTTCAATAGTATATTTATTAGTAATATAAAGAGGGGTTTACCTAAGTACTTTTCTGGACTGTGAAGGTGCTGGCACTTCTTGGGGAGCAGGCTTCTTACCACATTTTAGTGCTAAGGCCTCCTCTGATGCCTCACCTTCTGAAGATGAGATCTCATTAACTCCTAGATGCCCTCTGCTGGGTCCCACACTTGGTATATGGCCCCTTTGGACGGACCTAACGTCTAACTTACAAAGCATGTATGAGCTGGTCTGGAGTTTAAGGCTTTGCCCCAGAAGAGAGGGAACATCAGACCCGACTGACAATGAGATAAGGGCGGTGGGGTGCACCTTCTGCCACAGAACAGTCGGAGTTGAGGAAGCCTGGGACCCTCCGAGGGAGGTACGCAGTTGCGATGACAAATGGGAAAAGCACGGTCTTTGGAGTCAGGACTGACTTGGATTCGGAGCCCAGCTTCGCTATTCACGGGCGAATAAACTTTGTAATCCCCAGTGTCTTCATCTGTAAAGTGAGGGCAGAGCTCTGTACTGTGCCACAGAGGTGGGAGGACTGCAGGCAGTATTTGTAGGACTCCTAGTAGGTGCTCATGAGTGGTAGCTGTTGTTCTCATCACTTCGTGCTTCTTGGGAGAGCCTGGATCCTGTTTCGAGGAAGATAGCAGCGCCTCCACCCCGAGGACAGTCTGAGGGGAGCTTTGCGCCGCCCGTGCCAGCCCTCTGCGCCGGAGGAGGATGCATGGAAGGGTAGAGAGCTGATGGGCTGAGGGGGACCCCTGGGCACAGTGTCCCACAAACGCTGCCCTGGACACGGGGTCCGGGCGGGCAGCCCAAGCCAGCAGAGGGGCCTTCGGGTTGGGTTTGACCATTGAAACTAACGCCTGCATTTCTCTCCCATGCTTTCTCCTCCGGCCAGGAGCGGAAGGTACACGCCCTTTCTGCTGTCTTCGCTTCTTAGCGCTTTTGAGTTGTGTGTGTGTGGATTCTTCTGTCCTCTGGGAAATAGGTTTTCCGTGTGCGGGTGGGGCTGTAGCTGGGAGAGTGGGCTTTGTGGGGCAGGAGGAGCCTCTGGGCCTTACCCCACCTCCCTCCCTCTCTTGCAGGTTTTCATAGAGCTGAATCACATTAAAAAGTGCAATACAGTCCGAGGCGTCTTTGTCCTGGAGGAATTTGGTAATTACACTATTTTGCTCTTAGGTCTGGACTCACATGGCAGTAACTCAAACCTTGGAGCTCCAGAAGAGGGACTAGAGGCAGAGAGAAGAGCCTCTGCAGAGAGGTCTGGAGAGGCAGGAGTGATAGGGAAGAGAAGAGAACCCTGAGATGAGAGAAGGGGAGAAAGAAGAGAGAGATGGTGGTGGCTAGGGAGTGGGTCCCAGAAGAGCAAGTGGCTGTGTAGTCCAGGTTAGAGTTTAGAGGCGGCACTACAAGGATGGGATGAACTAGCACCAAGTCCCCTCGTTTGGCCAGCTGGTGGTCAGAAAGTTCTGGGGCAGAGCAGACGGGCAGTCCCCACGCTCTGCTGTGTTCATGTCTCCTGCTGCGATCCTCCTAAGTAGCCCAGTGCACCATCCACGCACCCCGGTGCCACCCTGGTGTCTGCCTAGCCTCTGTGCTGGAGGAGGGGCGCGTGGCTGTCCAGGCAGACTCACTCACTCTAGCAGGCAGAGAAGCCTAGTGGGCCCCAGAGGCAGCCAGGGCAGTTGTAGCTGGACACTGGGAGCCAGCCTCCCCCAGCCAAGCCGACATGTAGTGCAGTGGTTCTCACCCTGGGGCTTTGAGTTCCTGCTGTTTGTGCTTCATTCTTTTGTGCCCCTCGTCGCTGCTATGAAAACCTCCGTTCTCCAGCAGGTAAAGTGACTGCCAGCTCCGCTGCCTCTCCCCAGGCCCCCTGCCTTGGGCCCTGCAGTGGGCGGGGCGGGCTCCCTTCAACCAAACCAGCTGCTCAGTTGCCAGTGCATCTTCTCTCCCCACCTCTTCCTTCCCAGCCTCCCTCCACCCTCAAGCTGGCTCACTGGTCCTGAGGTTTTGCTCCCTCTCTTCTGCCAGAGAGAGATTTTGGGGGAATCTTCCGACTCAGGAGAAGACCTGGGCTTCTTGCTCCGCCTTTGATGAGTTTATTCCCTGTTAACCCTGGGTCCCCCAAATTTATGTCCCAGGGTCAGGAGGAGGTGTGGCCAACTCTCATCCTACCTTTCTGGCCCCCAGGGGATGTCATGCCGGTCTTCTCCCAACTCCAGGGGCCACGATGATGGCTGAGCCCCGGGGGCCTTACTCCTTCCTCTGGCCAAGCAGAACCCCTGCATGGCTGGGCCGGGGCAACTCTTAGTCTTGCATTGTGGGCTGTGGACATGTGTGTATTTGCCTGATGCTCCCCGTCACCTCCTCCCGGGTGCTGTACTCGCCTGTCTCTTCTGCTCGGTGTGTCTGCTCCAGAGCCCTCTGACGCTCTCCCTCACACAGGCGGGCCGGGCCTCTCCTGCCACTCAGGGAAGGAAACGTACAAGTCTGGTGGGTTTAGTATCACGCCACATCTTCAGCCTCAGGACGCTTTGTGTAGGGGCTGGGAGTACAGGGAACTGTGCTTAACACGACCAGAGTCTCGTGCTGGGGGCAGGGATGAGTTCTCGGGCGTGTCAGCAAGGTGTGACACAGGCTAGAAAACTCTCTTCTCCCAGCCCAAACTGGGACTACCCTCCTGTGCTTGTCAGGGGCCCTGGACAGTAGCAGTGACAGAGCTGGTGAGACTAACCAGCTCCCCTGCTGGGGCTCCCGAAGAAGAGGGTAGAGTCATGGCCTCTAGCAAGGAGCCACTGCAGACCTCAGAGGGCAGTGTTTGGGGATGTGTCCTCTCGTCCTGCAGGGGCTGGACAGAAGCTGTTGTAGCCTGAGCTGCTGCAGCCACTGGGAGAGGCCCCCGAGGGGAAGGGGCCCTGTGCCGGGCGCTGCCGCCTGGGAGAGCTGGCACTATTACTCTGAGTTTTGAACTTTCTGTTTTGTCTTTTGCCCGTCCGGTTTTAGTTCCTGAAATTAAAGAAGTGGTGAGCCACAAGTACAAGACACCGATGGTGAGTGTGCCACCCAATCCTGATGAGCCAGTGTGCACAGGGCTCCTGGGACCTTCGGACAGAAGTGGGGGGCCCTCTGAGAGCACAGGGGGAGGGGCAATGAGGAGTGATCTGAGAGATGAATCTGGTCTAGATGCCAAAGCTTCAGCTGAAGCTGGAACAGGTCAGCTCTGAGGCCTGACTTAGGCTTGAGCCCGGGTTAGGGCAGGAGTTTCACGCTCTGCAGATCTCCACATGTGAAGGTTTGGGTCTTAGTAGTGTTGACCTGTCTGGTTTTCTCCCCCTATAGGCCCACGAGATCTGCTACTCTGTGTTGTGTCTCTTCTCATACGTGGCTGCGGTTCGTAGCAGTGAGGAAGATCTCAGAACCCCACCCCGGCCCGTCTCTAGCTGATAGAGGGGGGTTAAGGCTGCCCCAACGCAGGGGACACCCCTTGCCTCTTGCTGTTCCCAAGTGCACGATGCTGCTATGACCAGACGTGGGTGACGTGTGCGTGTCCTTTGCAAGCCCCTCGCGTGGCTTAGTTGGTTCTCAGTTATGTGTCCCTGTCAGTGTGTTTTAGTGTGTTCATCACAGGGCCAAGCTAGTCTCTTCTGCCTTTTCCCTGTCACCCCCAGAAGACCAGCCTACTGTTCCCTCAGGGCTCAAGAGTGTGTGTGTGTGTGTGTGTGTGTGTGTGTGGCCATTGGCTTCTAAGAACTCTTGGAGTATAGGCCAGTGTGAATCCACTCTTATGTGTCCTTGAGACATTTGTGTTGTGGTTTGGTGTCCTTGGCATTGTGACCTCCCGGTGCAGGACTCTGGCTCTCTGTCCTCTGTGATCCAGCACAAGCAGGCGCCTGGAGTAGCCCCAGTCTGTGGGGAGTGAGGGAAGCTTGAGGTTCCCCACCAGGGGTGGGCAGGGAGAGGGAGGGAGAGTCAAGGGGCAGCAGAGTGAGTGGCAGCCTCCTTGCTTACGCATTTCCTAAGCTGGCAGCTACTGCCCTGGGCCACAGTCCTGCTGCTGCCTATTATGGCCTCCACCACTCAGCGGAGCAGCTCTTTGCCTGTGGTCTTCCTTGCCTTAGGCAGAGGAGAACAGAGTGGTTGGGGCCAGGAGACTCCCAGGGACCACTGGGTGCTGTGCCCAGGAACCCAAAGGGGTGGGCAAAGCCAGGTTCAGTATACACACCTGTGTCTGCCGGCAGCATCTCCTGGCACTGGGTGCCAGAGGGGGAGAGGGTCTGGGAGTAGGCAAGAAATGATTGTACATATTTATTTCAGCTCCACATTATTTATAGAAAATGTACAGGCGTGTGAATGTGAAATAAATGTCCTTAACTCTCCCTGGGCTCCTGGCAGTAAATGATACTTCCTCTCAGCCAGGGCCTGAGGAAGACTGACCCTGGATTCTACAGAGAGACCTCTGGTCTGAAGGAAGCAGGGAGACGAGATCATGCCCATCTGAGCTCTGGCATGCTGATGCCCCTGCCTCCCACCCAGCTGGCCCAGCAGGGCTCCTTCCCACATTTCCTGGGCTCCCAGAGAGGCTGTGGGAGGGAGCTTCCTTCCCTGTGGTGCAATAGGGCCTGCAGAGGGCTGCTGTGCTGTGTATTGGCCACTAGAGAGAGCAGCCAAACTTGCTTACTCCTGAGCAGGGAAGGAAAAACCGATACTGGGTCCCAGCTCTCAGTGTTCCTTACAGGTGTGATCCAGAGAGTGTTGTGACTCGGCCAGGACCTGGAGCCCAGAGTGTTGGGATCTTGGCCAGGAGTGTCTTGGGTTGGGTAGAACTCTGAGAAGCAACCCTGGGCCTAGTCTTCATGGAGTTTTTTTTCCTACACCATGGGAAAACCTCGTACTCCCTGGGCAGGAAGGACCCTCTACATTACACTATCAGGGCACCTCTGAGACCTGCTGGCTTCCCCTGGTGCAGCTGTTCCAGGCCCTATGGGCACAGAACCCCAGCACTGCCTCACATCCAGGCTGCTGACCCAGGGGCACCAGAACAAAGATAGTACTGAGCATGTGTGACCAGGCGGAGAACCTTGGTTTGCTGGCTCTGTGGCTGACACAGCTCTTCTGTTCCCTCAGTTGAAGAGTGTAGGTGGTGGGGGAAGACTGAGCTTCCTTCCACTACTAATGTTTTCTGAATTTAGGATTCCACTCTGGGCCTCGCTGAACCCTTCTGCTTTAGTTTGCTGTGAAGTAAACTAAGTTTCCCTAAGTGCTTTGTATGAAAACAGGTACGTTGGACAGGAAGAGTCAGGTCTCAATGATTACATTGATCTTTTATTGCCCTTATACACAGAGAGAACATGACAGGCCAGAAAGACCATCCACAGCCATCATTTCCTGAGCCCACTTGCACTTGCCCCCAAGATCTGAGAGCTTCCAACAGCTCCAGCAGGTCAGTCTGCATAGTCCCCCCAGGCCTGCTCGTTGTCAATACACTGCCCTACTGATGCTCCCAGCCAGCCCCAAGGTACACACTTGCACACATATCCACAACAGGAAGGAGGCTTGTCCAGCTTCCTTCCCCGCTCCTGGCACATGGTTGGCATCCGGTTGTACCTGTGACACAGGTTCCCTTGTGAGTGAGTTGGACTAAGAGCCACCTGCACCCCCATTTCCTGATGGCTACCCCTGTTCCAAGTGCCAAAGCTCAGCCTCTGATTGCGCCCTGGGCCTTGGTGGTCCGGAGTACATACCTGGCTGTCCCGAGGAGCTGGCCTGGTCACTGAGGCACTGCAGGAGAGAAGGAGGCCGTTTTGTGTGCGCTGCGCCTCCAGCACCACATGTCCTCCCAAAATGCTGGGGAGCAGCTGCAGCAGCAGAACCCAGAAGCCAGTACCGTCTGGACATGGCGGTCATGGCTCCTTCAGCCAGAGCAGCTGCTTGGCCCAGAATAGCAGAGTCCAGCCCGTGCCCTGCCTTCTCCAGCACCCCAGGCCCTGGCCCAGTGGGCTCCTCACCTCGCACCTCCAGGCGGCACTCACACTGGGCCTCGCCTTGTAAGTTGGTGGCCCTGCAGACGTAGACACCCCCGTCATAGGTGCAGGGCTTTCTGATCTCCAGGGTCAGCACACCCTGCTTGCTGAACATGCGGAAGCGGGCGTCTTCTCCCAGGTCCAGGCCATTCTTGAACCAGGAAATCTTGGGCTGTAAGTCATGCAATAGGAGGGAGGGAGACTGTTTCAGGTTGGGAGGACCTGGCAGGAATGTAGGGAGATTGGCATTTGTGTTTCTACTCCGGGGGCTCCAGCCGGAGTCCCAAACTATGCCCAAGGCTGAGAACAGAGAGCCAAAGGAGAATGTGGGGGTCCTGCTCAGGGACAGGCAGAGAGAAAGCAGGGACAGGCTGAGGAGTGGACTCCTCGAGGCTGGAGCATCGGAGTCCTGCCTCCTGGGTCTGCCTGAACCTGGGCGTGAAGTTCTCTACCTTGGGGCTCCCCCGGACGGCACAGCAGAGAGTAGCATTGTAGCCGGCGATGATGGAGCGGTTCACCAGGGGGTGGGTGAAGCTTGGGGCCTCGGAGAAGTCCAGGGCCTTGTAGTTGGGTGGCTCATATGTAATGCCTGGTGGTGATAGGGCTTTGTACCAAGAGGGCCACACCAAGCCGGGCCCCCCTCCCTGTGCCCACTGCCTCCCAGCCCCACCTTCCCAGGGGTGGGAGTGAAGGTACAGCACCTGGTCTGGGGATGAAGACAGGTTCCTTGGTGGTGGCAGCTTGGTCACTGGGCCCCACCATGTTGTGGCTGAAGACCCGGAAGTAGTAGCCATTGCCGATGATGAGCTCTGACACCACACAGTGGGTACGGCGGTAATGCTCCAGGACCGTGAACCACTCCTGCGGGTGAGGAGAGGGAGGGGTGTCGGGCTGGGGGCAGCCCTACTTCCTACCAGGGGCCTCTCTTGGGTACCCCTGGTATCTGTACCCCAACTCTGGAGGGAACCAGATCATAGAGGGAGGGTGGGAGGTGGGCCCATTCTAGGGTCAGCTGAGACCTGGGTCTGCCAGGCTCTAGGAAAGGTGTATATGGGGGGCCCAGGACCCCAGGCTCACCATGGTCTTCTTGTCAGCTTTCTGTACCGTGTAACCTGAGATCTCTGTATTGCCATCATCTTGGGGTGGCTTCCACTCCAGAGCCACATTGAAACCCCATGCCTCCGTGACCCGAATGTCCTGGGGAGGGCTTGGCTTGTCTGCAGGAGACAGACCCATTTGGAACACCCCCTCCTGATACTGCCAGAGCAGGAGCAGAGAACAGCTGGCTCCAGGGGCCCCATCGCCCCCACCAGCTTGGGCCTGGCTGCCACCTTCTGCAGGGCCCTGTGCATCTCAGAGGAGGGACCCCAGGACCAGAAGGCGTGAAGCTCTGGGTTGGGCCCTGGCAGCTCAGCTCAGGGATGGGAAATGAATGGCTTAGAGGGAGGCCCCAGTGCCACACACCAACAATCTGCAGGACCAGTGTTGCCTTGTCTTCCATGTTCTCGATGCGCAGCGTCACCTGGTAGGTGCCAGAGTGGGCGCGGCGAGCGGCCCGGATGAAGAGGATGGTGTCCGTGGGGCTGTTGCGGATGCTTACCTCCTCACCTGTCAGTGGCTGCCCCTCTTTGGTCCAGGTCACCTGAGGCCGGGGCTTGCCCTGTGGGGAAGGACAGCTCACCCCTAAGCCTGGCTCTCCCTGAAGGCCGCCACCCCCCAGCCTCATGTGCCCAGGTGAGGTCTCAGTGTGCTGAGCCCTGACACATATCTATCTCCCAGGCATGAGCAATACACTGCAGGACAGAGCAGGGGGCCAGCCCTACCTGGAAAGGAATGAGGAGGTTCACGGGCTCCCCAACCCTCCTCTGGATGGTCTGGCGTAGGTGCCTGGGCAGCTGAAGCCGTGGCCGCTCTGTGGGTACAGAGTGGGTGGCTCACCAAGAGCCACCCAAGGCCTGATTTGCCACACAGCTCCATTCTCTCTTGAGGCAGGGCCCAGAGGGCTGCAGCTAAGGAAAATGCTGCCTCCTGGGCCGTCCCCTCCCTTAGCTCCCCCTACCCCAGCCCCAAATGACTCAAAGCTCCTGCTTGCACCTGAGTCTCACCACACCACTACAAGAGGCAGGCATCAGGGAGGGTGCATGACTTGTTTGTGGTTACACAGGCCAGGATGCAGATCTAGGCTTTTGGACCATACGGCCTGTGCCATTACAACCCAATTTGCTGTCTCTTTCCACTTTGAAGACCAGTCTTTACACAATTGATCCTTTGTTGGGAAGGGGATCCCAGATGGGCCAATTTGACCCTGAGTGGCATCCTTGCTCAGTCCTGAGCACATGGACAATATTTACCTGTTGGAGATGAGAGACTCACAGAGCAGAGCTGGAAGACAATGGCATAATGACCGACATTTTCCCTGTTCCAGACTGGGGTTGACATGGGAAACCAGGAGGACACTTTCCGCACACGTTTGCCCTGGGCCTGGGGCCTGGATAAAGGTTCCTACCCCTCCTGTCCCTGCCTGGCATATAGCTCCTCCCCCAGGAGGGCCTCTCTGTCCCCACCTCCACTGGCCCCAAGGGCCAGGGTGTCAGTGGCAGGTCTTGTGACTGCACAAGGGGCACTCACGCAGTATCTCCTGCACCGTCACGGGCTCCTTAGTGGTGGCGGGGGCTCCAGGCCCTGCCACATTGTGTGCCCGCACCCGGAAGAGCAGCCGGGCCCCCGTGGGCAGGTCCTTCACCAGCATTGATGTGCGCTCTGTCAGCCCCTGCAGGGCAGCCACCCACTCGGAGCCTGAGGGCAGGGGTGGGAAGGCAAAACCACAGGCAGTGTCAACATGGACACCCCACCCTGCTGCCCTACCCCTGGTGGCTGTCTGGGGCCTCCACTGCAGATAGGACCCAGCAGGGTCAGATGCCTGGCTGGGGGCCCGCTCAGAGAAGGGTACAGGCTGCGGGCCCAGGCTGGGCAGGGCAACTCACAGCCCTCCTGGCAGTACTCCACACTGTAGCCGTCCAGGCCTCCAGCTCCCTCGCGCTCCGGAGGCCGCCACTTGAGGGACACGGTGGTGTCTGAGATATCCTCCACCGTGAGATGGGTGGGCTCGCTGGGAGGGCCTGGGCAGAGGAGGGCAGAGAAGAGTCTGAGCCACAGGAACCTCCCCTTTGGCTGGCTTTCAAGCACTTCAAGAAATATTTCAGCTTTGTTAAAAGATGTGTCTCTAGATAGGCTTAAAAACAGCAATTACAAAGGAGAGCTCCAAATAGGAGAAGATACCCAAAGAACTCAAAGAGCTTAGAAGGAGCCACTTCTGTCCAATAGCGATGCCACAATGTAACTTAAGGAAACATGGG